AGTCTGTTAATATGCATTACAAATGATCACATAATTCAAGATAAGCGGGTTGGAAAATGTATATATTTATATAAATTCAGTTATTGATATAGTTAATATCACACGAAGCGTGCCCATTTAAAAAAAAATAAAAATCAGCATGGTTACAAATGTGATCTTGATTTTATACAACAGTTCAATAAACAATAAGTTAACATCAAGAGACTTACGTTTTAGACACCATATTGGCTGTTTCTGCGTTATTTCGCCAACAGAAAACATTGCAAACACAGCGCTGTCTTGCGTCTCTGAGCAAAATCAACCGTTTAAATGATTCGGTTCATTCGCAATGACTCACTTAACAGTGACTTGCTGCCACCTACTGGCGGATTTAATTTCACATTTAAAGTATCTTTTCATTTTTTTAATAATTTCAAATATCAGTATTCAACATTTCATGTTTAAAATATCAAAACATTATTTATGCATTTGTAACTGCAGGTTAAAGCATCCCATGTCCCTCTGAGCTGCATTAACAAGCGTAAACACATCTAAATGCCACTTCATATTCAACTTCTGCAAAGATTAATTTTATTGATACTGATTTAATTTGTTTAGTAACAGCCTAAATGTATTATTATTATAATTGCCTGATTAAATGTAAGAATTTGACTCAAAAAATGATGCACACTTTTAGAAAAAAATGGCTTTATAAAGGTAAGAATGCCCATAAAAGGTAAAAATCAATCTAAACTTATTGGAAAAGATTAATTTCTATCACTGCTGTGAACTGACCACACAGAATATGAAGAATATCTCAAACTTTAGGAGTCAGCTGTCCACGGTATGCTTAAGATATCAGCACAATAACACACTCAGCAAAATATCGTCTAATTATCTTTATCGATAAAATCACAGAAAATATTGAGATATTATTTTTTGTCAATATCGCACACCCCTAGTACTGACACAAAATGATTTGCAACAGTCGCTTTGTCATGTAGACAGCCTCAAACTGTTGGTTTGTGGCTAGTAGAAGTAATGAATGGCCGGTAATGTAACAATTTAGTAGCCAAATTGGCTGGTGAGTAAAAAAGTTAATTTCAATCCCTGGACGTGTTTAAGGGTAACTATGCAGAAATTAACAGAGGTAACTTTCAGTGTCTGTAAGTAACCCTGGAACAGAACCTGCTCCTATGGTTTGTTTACTTCAGAGGCGTTCAGCAAGCTCAAGATTGTGCGCAATATTATATACCGGTATTATTTCAAGTTACAATTATATAATATACAATATTATATTATGCACTAAATATATATATATGTTTATATGTATGTATGTGTGTGTCCTGTTTCAAGCCAATATCTGCACCTTAAAACTTACATCCATGTGCACATCACACTGCAAATAAACTACTACAGATACACTTGGTGCACAGATCATAAACCATTACTGTTGTTTATTTTGGGACACTTGTATCGGTCTTGGTTGTCTCAGGTTAACTTGAGATGAGAACGCAAATAGTCTAAATAGCCCAAGTGGTCTAAAGCTCTGATTAATTTACAAAGGGTTCCATTGATTGTACTACTAAACAGCTTTACAGCCACACTGAACTCATAATTACTGAACTTGGCACAGTTACTGAATGGATCTGAATCAACACCAAGCAGACTTCAGCTGAACAAAGACACTATTTTCTTGTTCGAGCTCTGTTGAAGCATTGAACTCTGTTTGCATCGCTGAATCGTTATTTTCCAGTTGATCACCGTAAAGCTGCTTTGAAATCTGTATTGTATAAAGCTCTATAATAAATAAAGGCGACTCGATTTGACTTGAAAAACACAAATAAAGCATATACTGTCGCGATCATATCTTCATGACTCGATTCGACTTGATCGGAAATGCGCCGTAGAGATTAAAGTGCATTTTGTGTAACGATAGTGTTTTCAAGAAACACAGATAGTTCCTACTTTACAGTCACATGCATATGTGTACTTAAAAAGTGCTACATTTATAATTATTCCCTGGCTCCAGTTCACTCTTAAAGAAGATGAAACGTCACATAGAGTGCATTGTGTTGTGGGAATCAGTATCCTATACAGAGTCCTCTGTAAGCGTATTACGATAGTATGCCATTTCAAACACAGCCGGTCTTTTTTTTTGTTCTGGTTTGCATTGCATCTATTAATGCATCCAAAGAACGTAACATATTTGACATTCCTAATGTCTATAAAAATCAAATGCACTCAAATGTTGACTAGATGTAAAAACAACGGCTCCCAGACCCCTGACTCCCAGACTGCAGCAACAAACATGGCACTGAAAAGCTTTGAGTAATTGATCATTTTAGGAAAAAGGAATGATGTAGAGATACAAGAGAAAAACCAGCAAACTCCAGAATAACTCACCAGAAAACACGATCATACAGGTACAAAACCAGACAGACTAGAAGCAGCACTGGGCTATTTATACTGAAGCTAATGAATAACATGACATCAAATAAGAAGGAGGCATGGTTAAAAAAAAGACAAAGCTTCATAATAGAGTCCATGGAAACATGAAACACACACAATGACCCCTAGTGGTAATCTAGGAACACTTGTTTTGCTGTCATTTTCCATAAGAAACGTACTTGCACGTCGTGACATGTAACATTATCACGCATGGCTGCTGATTTCTGGGACACGGTTTGAGGTGTGATCTGGCCTTTCCTAACAATGATGGTGAACAAGCTAAGTTCTGAGACTTTGGTCAAAGTCATCCGAGAGTTTATGGTTTAAACCAGTACAGCCTGATGGATGTTATAAACCATGGCTTAGCTTCATCTATACTGAGAAGCAGCTAATCAAGTATAACCTAGACAAACACGATGAACTATGAACTAGATGTTTGAAGGGAATTTGTTTGGAGAAACACAATTAGCTTTTTATTACGCCCAAAATAAGACATCTGCAATCAATGATCATCTTCTTCAACTTTATATATGTCCCTTTGTTTTATGGCAAGCCATATAGACAGACAACTATAAAATAGAAAACATAAAAATGGGAAAAACAAACCAATTACAATCCTATAATTGGACACTATAGAGTGTGTGTACACTAAAGTCCACGGCAACACTTCTGCTTCTAGCAGTGCAGCAGGTTTTTGGAAATCTAAGCTATTCTTGCAGCTTGCTGTTCTAGAGTAAAGGATTTTGACGTCGACTGGTGCTATTCTGTGTTAATGACATTAATTAGGGGCGAGTGATCTGAAACCATTAAGCTGCACACATTTTCATAATCACTTCCAATGTATAGATCTTACAGCGGTAAGAGAGGCATACACACTTTCTGTGCATATGTTCGTTTTATGAATCACACGTATGCACATTAGAGAAACAGGCATAAGTTATTCAGTGCTATTTGATGTTTCTCATATGCATATGAAATCTCTTATTAGTTGGGCAATGTTATGGTCGCGCCAGTGCAAAATGTAGTCACACAGACAGGAAAAAAACTAATGAAATATACTTTATTGTCCCTAAAGGAGACATTGTTATTGGACTCAATACATTACATTTACATTTAGTCATTTAGCAGATGCTTTTATCTAAAGCGACTCACAAATGAGGACAATAGAAGCGATCAAAATCAACAAAAGAGCAACGATATCAGATCACAGCATAACCAGCTTACGGTGCTGCTGACACAGAACAGCATACGATGTTTACGTATGTGATACGCTCCAAAATGGCGCTACAGGGAGACGCTGAGGAGACGAATTAAGGACTCAAATACAGGACTGACAACCGTATTCTGCTGCTGTGTGAACGTGGCCTCAAACTGTTTCTTGTTATTGCAATGAAGTCATTGATGTTTTCAGTCAGTTGCTCAATTTCACCACTGGGTGTCAGTAAAGCCACACTGATTTCACATGAGAAGTGAAGGATTTCTATTACATACATTTATTAATTTACTTTGGCTTTAATTGAAGCTGTTTAAACTAACCTGAATCGTTAGTCACTATTCAGATCAATTGAAATAGTTCCTAAGAAACTATATTGTATTTTGTGGACCTGCTTTATATGTCACATTAAAACTGAATTTTTGTCATAATTAAAGAATTTTGCAACATTGTTACTGTTATTTTCCTGTTTATTAGTAAAGCTGCTGTGAATCAATCTCTATTATATGAAGCTCTATAAAAATAAACGTGACTTAACTATTTTGTTGCAGGAAAAATAAAATAAACAGAATACAGGGCCATTTTCAAAAAACATCTAAAGACACATCTTTTTCACCAGCACCTGACCATCTAATACTAGCACTGACCGATGTGCTTTTGTTATAAAGCAGACACAAGTGCTGTAATCACAGTGCGTACCTCCTTCTTCATATCTGTATACACCCTGTGAACAAGTTAAATGTAAGACTTTTTAATAACACCTTATATGACATTTAAGACCAAACCTCTAATGGAAATCACACATTATTTTACATACGTATAATGTAATATTTAATTTGTTAAATGTAAAAAAAAATGTCAAAAACGTTCATATCAGCAGACAAAATATCCCCTCAAAAGCACAGCATGACCGAGATTTCTGGTGGTGTACACAATTTATTCTGAAGCAATATTTGATCTGTATTAGCTTTTACATTTATCTGCATATTTTTGATATTAACCTCAGGATGTTATTTACTTTTATGAAGGCCATTTTTTCAACCTTATTAAATGTATGCAGCATATTTCATGTCAAATTCTTACAATTGATCAGAGTCAATTTACACTAAGGCTGTTATCAAACAAATTAATTTACTTTGCACAATTACAACTGCAATAAATAATGTTATGAGAATAATGTTTGAAATGCAATTTTGAATATAAAAATAAGAAATATCATTGGCTGTGTTCGAAATGCATACTTGCTTACTGTCCAGTGCACAGTGCATACTGCCTACTGTTTTTAAAGAATAGTGTGTGAAACAGTATACAATAAGCAACAAATGTTTCAGAGTAGTGTGCTTAATTGTCACATGACAAACACAAACATGAATTCAGCACAGCTGTCGAGGTTGTTACATTACAAACAAATGTGCTAAGCATTCTTTTTACAAAGGCTTGTTAATAAGGCGTCATACTAGTAAACAATGCTATGTTGCTCAATTGAACTCATTTCATAATTGATTAACTTCACATATTGGACAGAACTGAATCAACACTGAGCTGTGTTTAACTGAACAATGATATTTTTGGCAGTTACACTAATTGGAAAAAGTGATATATTCTAGCTACACTAAGTGCAAATAATGATAAATTCTGTTTAAAATAGCAGCTTATTGTTTAACAACAGGTTTGTAAATAGCAGTTGGCAGATATGTATACTTCAGTACTGTACTACATTATAAAACAGTATGTAATTAATTAAGTAATTAACAATTTGTCTAACTCTCGCATGCTCTTTAAAACATTTTCCTCGCTCCCCCTCCTTCATCAACTCTAACAGCTGATGACTTTGCTATGTTCTTCATTAATAAAATTAAAACCATCAGTGCACAATTTTACATTTACATTACATTACATTTACATTTAGACATTTAGCAGACGCTTTTATCCAAAGTGACTTACAAATGAGGACAACAGAAGCAATCAAAATCAACAAAAGAGCAATGATACGCAAGTGCTGTAACAAGTCTCAGTTAACTTAACGCAGCACACATAGCAAGGTTTTTTTTAATTATATAATAAATAAAAAAAAACAGATAGAATAGAAAAAAAATAGAGCAAGCTAGTGTTAGAGGCTTTTTTTGTTTTTGTTAATTGTATATTAAATAAAAAGAAAAGGAATAGATAGAATAGAAAAAGAATAGAGA